AACCGAAGCGTGTTTTATTGATGCTAAAGGGTGCCATGCGCGTCGGATGTTGATGTTTTGGCAAAAGTGGCGTATATGACGCCTTGGGATGAGAATGCGTTGGACTTTTTTACCACAGATTTTCAGTAAATAGCAGTTCAAAGACTATTATCATCATGTTCATGTAAGATCTGTTGTACTTCATATTCAAGACATACAGTATGTCACGTCATAATTATGAAGTTGTCATGTCAGTCTTATGCACACCCCTTAAAGTAAAGTGTTACCAAACATTGTTATTTGCTTTCTGCTCATCTTCCATCTCAAAAATACTGAAGTAATAGATTATACAACTTCAACTGTAATTATTTATGACTCTTTTTGGACAGTCAAATGCATTGCGTTGTGCCGCACTTTCTAACCAATGATTTTTTTTTACTAATATTTTGCCTTTTTATTAGATATTGGAAAAGTCATGGAAACGTAGGCTATAAAATATTAAAAGGTCATGGAAAAGTAATGGATTTTTTTTTTTTTATATCATTAGATATGATATAGAACAAGCACAACCTCAGAAATGATGGAGGTGATGCACAAAGCTCAGAAATCTGTAAAAAAAAAAAAATCATTTGATAGATTACAGTCCACAAAGAGAAATTTCAAGCAAGAAAATACACTGACTTTAGAAATTTGCATGATTTTTCCATGACCTTTTAACATTTTATATGTTTAGACTTTTCCAGGGGTGAAATAATATCCAGGAGCGTTTGTGGGACCGTGTTTCAGTCATCCTGGCACCTCAAACATACAGAAAAAATATTCAGTATATCCTGCAGAAATAGTATAAGCTCATTTAAACCGTTTGATATACGAAAAATGCATTTCCGTTAGACACCCGTTTATATTTAGTGATAGTTGTAGGCAAATGAGTCACAATTCAAGCATGCGTGTGAATCTTCAGAAAAGGCCTTTGAGAGGAAATGATGAATGATCAGTTTGTGTTCGCCCTGCTCTTATAAAGGTCAAGAGGGACGACTGCGATCCTCGTTCTCTTCAGACTGAGGAGATCTCCTGTTCTGCTGTTCCTCAGCTCATCTCCACCGGTGATTTCTCTCATGTCAGACTTCCTCTCGCCACATGTGCAGCGGGGAACAACTCAATAGCAGAAGACGAGCAGTTTCGGATTGATTCTTCTTTAATATTTTGTGTTGCGCTTGTAATTGCTTTGTGCTGTTGTTGAGCAGCAGGTTGATTCTGAACTTCATCGCTTCATTACACACAGAAAAATAAATGGAAAGTTTTCTACTTAATCTTCAAGATGTTCTCAAGAAAATAAAATACAATCTGTCAAACACAGGGTAGGCCTACTATTGTTTTGAAAATTCCATTTTTTCAATTTAGGAAGTTTTAATGAAGAATAATACTTTTTTTAATTACATTTTTACTGTTTTAAAATGATTTTTGTCCTTGGTTTTGTAGTGCAAGTGTAGTTATCATTCCTAACAGCACCACGACTTGTTCAAACCTGCACATAAATACAGTAACACATCATAAAATATTACAGTATCGCACTAGTTTTGCAAGGATTCATTTTTTCTGTTTGTTGTCTTTCATAACCAGTGTTAGGTAAGTTGATTTAAAAATGTAATTGATTACTAGCTACAAATTACATCCACAACAGTGTATTTAGATTACTGTAATTACTCTCTAAAAACTACTTTCTAAATCTCGACCAGTTGAACATGAAACTGCTCTTTTAATTGTTTCAAACTAATAATATGAAGTTGCACATATTATTCTTGAACTGACAAAATGGAGGTTACAGTAAATTTTGATGTTAAATCCACTCTGTAAAAAATGATTTTCATGATTAATCACATTTTTTTTGTCAAATCAACTTAGATAATTAACATGGTTCAGATAACATGATATTTTGAGTTTCTGTTTCAATGAACTCCATATTTAAAGGCAACCAGGTAACTTACCTTATTATTTTTTTTATAGCGCACTAATGTTTTATGAATAGTTCAATAGTCAACAATATTTAATTCAATTACATCAGAAGTAACTTTTAAAAAATTAAATGTAAACCCTTACTTTTTCCACGGGAAAAACTGCAGAAAAAATATTTAAATAGAATTAGGCGAATAAGACCCAACACTGTTCATAACTCATTGTAGATGAACATATATTTTACATTAACTAAAATGAATAAGCGCTATAAAGTTATGGTTTATTGTTATTTAATAGGCTAGTTGTTGGTTAGTGATAAAGTGTTATTTAAGCTTAATAGTGTTATTTGATCATAATAACCCTGGGACAATAAATCACACGCTGTTTCTGTTATTGTTCGCATCTTCCTCTCAGTTCGTCTCTGTTTTGAATAACCCCCGGATGCTCGAGTCGTTGAGGAGATGCAGAGACTCGTCTCACACAGCGCCGGATGAAGATCGGGTTTATAGAAATGTTTCATCATCATCATCATCATCATGATCAAGAGATTCAGAGGCTCGAGTCATCTTCCTGCAGGTTTCGCACAGCGCATGATGAGGGATGACGCCGTTTATTTAGGCCTTCGGATGTCATATTTTCCAGCATGCTGTGATCATCAGTTTCGGAGCGTTTGGGGGATATAAATGTGCATACTTGTATCTTAATTTACATAAAGATCTCGGTGTCTGCTGTAAATCTGAGTGCGCGAGATGAAGACTCGGTTGAGCAGCACTGACCGCGCGCGCGCCCGTGTCCACAACAACATCACGTGTGCGCGCGTGTGTGCGTGTACAGCAGCGCCGATAAAGTTCAAGGCACGAGCTCGAAAGTTGTGTACAGTCTGGATTGGGCTAAATTGAAGCATTAAGCCGCCATCACTTCTGTCCGTGTTCAGAATCAATAGATGCATCCTCAGGGTGTCTCCTGAAGTCATTTACTCAGCGCTGGTCACAACAGATAGGCAAATTCAGCTCCACACACACACACACACACACACACACACACAGCGCAGGACACTGGAGAATGTGCTGATGAAGGCTTTTCCAAATAGCTGCACTTACGAAGTGTGTGACTAGACTTTCGATTAAGATGACAAAGCCGGAAGCAACAAGGGCTGTAATTTAATCCAGTGCGAACACGAGGCTCTGTACCTCCAGAAAGATCATCCATGAAGTCCATTTAGTGTCCAGATGGATCCGTCGTGGTCAGGACAACCTTTAAAAGCCAAGATGATGGATTAAAGCCGCAGTAGAACTCATTTGTATAAAGATGTTTGGAGGGTTTGTTTGTGGAATATCACTAATGCTATGGCGGCGGCGGGGAGATTGCATCAGTAGGTTTGCATGTCGCTTTATTCGAGGAGGGCCGATTCAGCTTTTATTTCAATACAACATCGGACAACAGCATCTATGCATTCTAGGTAATAAGAGTTATTCAATTCCAACGCTAATTAAACTCATCAGATCCAGCTTATCTTCAGGATTACTCACTGTAAAAAATAAAACCGTGATTTTTACAGTAAAAAACCGGCAGCTGTGGTTGCCAGAACTTTACCGTCAAAAATACGGTAGCAGCGTTATTGGTTTTACAGACTTACCCTAAAATTTACAGTAATAAACTGTATTTCATTATATGATAAAATGTTAATTTAGCAACCCAATGAAGTATTGATATCTATTTTGTAATACACTGACAAACAACAATCATCACATGATCAATCAAAGCTCACCACAAGCAGTCTTCCATTAAAAGGTTAATACTTGTATAAAGAAGCTGCACACACCATCATGAAATTGAAAAATGCAATAAACATTAATTTAATAACGTTAAATGTAATATAAAACCCTAATATACAAAAAAAAAATTATGATTAACCATAGTTATTTCAAGAAAAAGTGTCACAGCAGGGAATTGTGGGAATGTCAATTTACAGTTTTTCACTGTAAATTATACAATGAGGAGTTATTTTTCACTTTCAAAAACTGTAAATTTAACGGTATTTGACCGTAAAATTACTTGATATGTACCATGAGATCCATCCCAGACCAGTTATTTATAGTACGGTATAAACAGTTTTGCACTGTAGAATTTTACCTGTCAAAATTAGGATTATTTTTTGATTAGACGGTTTGATTACGGTTAGAACTAAACCCTCTGCTGTAATGATTCATTAAAAGAATCAACTCATTCGTTCAGAAATCAGACGACGCTGACCCGGCTCATGAAAGTCACTGGCTGCGTCTCAAATCACACACTTCCCTACTAAACGAAAAACAGCGTATGACAAAAGAAGTTTCTCCAAATTCAACGTACTTATAAAAGCGTCTGCAAAACGTACCCATGATGACCAACGAATTCCAGCTCGAGTCTGATGTGTGCAAATGGTCACTTTACTATCCCATGAGGCCAAGGGAGAGCGTTTGTGAAGCGACACTACTGACCTGCTAGGGCACATGATGAACACTTGCTGACTGTGGTCGCCTACATCTGGGTTATCCTCATTTTTTACCCGTCACTAAGTAATCACAGACTATTCAAAACAAAGAAAGGCCTATTTTGATTCGTTAGGGACTCAGACCACACTAGTGGATCACGAGCTGTTATTGAGTTGATTACAGATTGATCTCCACTTGAGCTGATTGGGTTAATGATCTGCAGCTGCTCCTCCCGAACCTTGTTAATAAAACATCATAGGCTACAAGCCAGCCAATATTTTTGTCTTAACCAGTTGCATCGAACTTGGTCACGTGTGTTTTTATTTCGATGCCATTGTGATAAGTAGCTAAATCTAGATGCATATTATTCCTATATTAAATATTGCATATGTTTTGAGTCTCTGTGACAGTGTTGCATCATGCAGTGTGTTTGTCACACAGAGTTCGAGTCTTCTGTCCAAAGAGCATCTGATGTGTCTCCTTTAAATGAAAGTGAAAAGTTTCATCCCCTATTCATCATCCGTCATGCATATTTCAGTCGCTACATTAGAAATGAGCCTCTGCGGCCGTAATCGAATTTGACAGGAGGCCATGAAAGAGAAAACATGGGCCGCCACCTCAGCTTTAATGACCACAGAACATCGCTCGAACACACTGTTTTATTCAACACTTATTTTGTAATCATGATTATTTGATCAGTGTAATTGCTCTGATGCGCACGTCGTTCTGCAGCTCATCCGACGGCGGGAGGCACTTCCTGCATCAGTTCAGCAACGTAAACGATTCGCCAGATTCAGGAAGGGAAGCTTACTTAAAACAGTGAGCTTAAACATATCACAGCCTTAAAATAAGCAGAACATCAGAAACACGTGTGGAAATGAGGAGTTCAGTCGTGAATGAGCAAAACAACACCAACAAACACACTGTCGAGGTCCAAAAGAAGCTTTAACAACGGAGCGTTTGAATTCACAGGACGTGTACATATGCAAACGCACTTATTAACCATGAAGCGCTGAAACGATCAGCTCACGTATACGAAAAAAAGAGGAGGAGGATTTACATTCTGGTCTCCGTCATGTAAACACTGTCCTGAAGAACTCAGTCTCCGCACACACATGCAGTTTCACATCGCATCGGGACAAAACAACACGGCATCAAATCAGAGAGACCGCGGAGAGAGATGTAATTAAAAAACAGTTTAGTGCACACAAGTGATATCTATCTTACAGTCTTTAGAAAAGCACAGATGATCATTTTCAGGAGGATCGTTCATCCTCGTTAACAGACATCCTTGTGCTTTGGGCAGGTTTGGCTCCCTCCGTTAGAGAAGCGAACACGAGCCTGGAGTTTTGGTGGCGACTCCTGATTGTCATGTTGTAGGACCACATCCAAGGGCGCTTCCACAAAGGAAGATCTAAAAAACACGTGACTTTCCAAAATATACAGAAACATTAGCTTGGCGTGTCGGTTTAGTCTTTCCAGGATATGTCCACGAGTGACGCATGAAGCACAGGCGTCAGCGTCGCGTTAAACGTGCGTCTGCATGCGTTTCTGCAGCGGTCGGGTCAGGTCTGAGTTTTGGGACGACGACTGCGAGTAGTGGGACGACGACGACACGGAGGCTTTGCTAGCTTTGTCGAAGTGCGCGTAGCCCTCCTGCTTGCTGTAGCTGCTGACGCTGCTGTCGCACTGCGTGTCCTGGAACGAGCTGGAGTCGCTCAGGGATGCCCGCTGGTACTCGCGCTCGCACAGTTCGATGGAGCTGCTGCCCATGCCCAGCACGAAGCGCTGGCTGTAGTCGTACAGGCGGTTGGGGCCGGCGCCCAGCGTGTTGTAAATGTTGGTGTAAGACATGCCGGTGGGGACGCGGTGCTTCCCGAGGGTCGCCGTGGCCGGGTTTCGGACCTCCGCGTTCTGGTTGGCCGTCAGAGAAATGGTCGGGGTCGGCTGCTCTTTGAAGGTGTTCACGCTGTAGTATCCGTTGGTTGGATCCTATTACATAGAAATAAATACATTTCGGAAATCATTTAACTCTTTGCGTGCCATTGGCGGGCATTTATGAGACACCGCCATTCACAGAAATGTTATACATTCTCGACTCAAACTCACCTGCCACATCAAATGAATCTTTCTTTTTGTTGCTGGACATTTGGATTATTAAATACGGAGGCGTATTGCATTCACTTAAGTAAAAAAATCTACTCTGTTTTTCTGAATTAACAAGGTAAATATCTCAGAATTACGAGATAATTTTTCATGGAAAAAAGTTTTCGCTCCGTTTTCTGAATTAACGGGTTAATTTTTCATGAGAAAAACAAATTTTGCTCTGTTTTTCTGAATTAATGAGTTAATTGTTCATGAGAAAAATAGTTTTTGCTCTGTTTTTCTGAATTAATTAGTTAATTTTTCATGAGAAAAAAAATTTGCTCTGTTTTTCTGAATTAATGAGTTCATTTTTCATGAGAAAAAAAGTTTTTGCTCTGTTTTTCTGAATTCAGAAAAACAGAGCAAAAAAAAAATCAATGAAAAATTAACTTGTTAATTCAGAAAAACAGAGCAAAAACTATTTTTCTCATGAACAATTAACTCATTAATTCAGAAAAACAGAGCAAAAAAAAATTCCATGAAAAATTAACTCATTAATTCAGAAAGACAGAACAAAAAAAAGTTTTCTCATGAAAAATTAACTCGTAAATTCAGAAAAACGGAGTAGATTTTTTTATTTTTTTTTATCAGAGTAGATTTTTTTTATTTCTATTACAGGAGTGTTATGGTATACACCTTTCAGCCTGAATAAAAAGCTAAATGAGAGAAAAAGAAAAAAGAGCCTGATTTTCCTCTCATGTGTCTGTAAGCTGTAAAAAGCCAAGGTCAAGTTCAGCTCACACTAATTATAGGCAGCGTGACATGGAAATTAGGGAACAGACTGATAACTGTCCCACGCTAAGAAGATTACATGGTTTAGTGGTGTGAAACAGTCATCTCCAGCATAAACAGTCAAATCCTGTTATCAGCTAATTAAATGGGCCTTGACGATTCATGTCGGCATTAAATATGCCAAATAATCTCCATAAAAATTCACTCCCATTTTATTTTTGGCCAATTTCTATATAGATAACATATATCTGCTCTCTCTTTATAATCCCAGTGGCCTTGTGTGAGCGCTGAGGTGAAATAACTCGTGATTCCTGGATAGTATGGTGTTGTCCGAGTCAAGGCCACGCCTCTCTGATTGGGGGCCAATGGCTATCGTGCTCGATGGAACGCAATAATTCAAGAGTGACGGATGATGACGATTTTGCCTTGAGGGATTGTTAAGCCAAGTGTGTTTGTCCGTAGAAACTCGGATGATCAGGTTGCCCGGCCCGAGCTCCAGACTGAAGTCTAGCAAAGCGGCTTTCATTAAACGAATTAGCATGCACATTCAACCAAACGTCCCGGTACACTCTCAATTACCAGTGAACGTAATGAAAGCTTGCGCACTGGAGATCAGTCAGCATGACAACACGTCCATTTAGGAACATTTCTTTAATGGACTCGGTAAAGACACAGAACACGGCCAGGAACTCTGAAACGAGTCAGAGAGCGCGAGTTCCCCAACTCTGCTTTATTAGATTCTGTGAGATTACGCGGCTGTTTTATTAAATCTGTTTTTTATGAGTGTGATGGAGAAATGTCTCTCTGGGGTTGTGTAATGGTGACAGATGCGAGTTCTGTTCATCACCTTAATGTGCTGCAGCTCCCTCTCCTCCTCCTGCAGGACCTCCAACTGTTTCAACACCGACTCTTGCTGAAACTCCGATCTCTCCATCTGAAAGCCGAGAGAAAGTGAGATGATGCAGGAGATGTGATTTCAGCCTGTTAGCATGTACAGGAGAATTTCAAGAACAGAAATCTGTGGTCTGATCTGAGTTCAGGGATGCTGCAGTGCTGTAATTTGAGTCCCGCAGGGGTTTATGGGAAGGAAGACGACAAAAAAAAAAAGAAGTATATTCTGACAGAGACTTAAAGCGAGGACTGGACAAGAAACTGGCGATTGTGACAGCGACGAGGTTGTGTCCAGCAACTCAACAAGCCAGAGAAACTTATAGCTTTATGCAAATGAGCAGCAATTACTTCCAGGCACACAATAAAATACGACGTGTGGGAAAACAACTCTGACTGAGTTTACTTTATGCACCGATAATCGTTCATCTGCTTCATGATGTAGCACTGCTATAATTTATAAACAACCCTTTCCTCTTCAGAATGTATAATAAGAAAAAGATTCCTTGTCAAAATATAATTAAATTAGAGTTTTACTGGCAACGCATATAATTTGTGAGAAGACCAATAATGTGATGGCAGCTACTATTACAACAACAAAACACGAGGCTAAAGACAGCCAGATACACCCTCATATCTAGGATAACATTTGACTATACCTGCACTGAGAGCTGAAAACATCACAATAACTGAGAAGAATGCAAACCAATCAACCAATCAACCAACCAATCAATCAATCAATCAATCAATCAATCAATCAATCAATCAATCAATCAATCAATCAATCAATCAATCAATCAATCAATCAATCAATCAATCTGTGGAGAGAAGTGGAGAGAGATGGGGATTAAAGGGGCAAACTCACCATCATTTGCTTCATGTTGCTGTGTTCTTCCGGCTCTCTGGCGGCATTATGGTCCTTATGGACAATCTCCACGCGAATGTCATTTTTAGCCGACACGACCCCTTTGAGATCTGCCAGAAATCATTCTGATTAGCCATAGCGACGCAAACCACACAATATCCTACCGCTTCTGCTGAGCTCTGACATGACTCTGAGACTCGTCAACAACATGCATGGATATTTTCCCAGAACGCGGCCACTAATATGAGCTTACTTTCGCCTTTTAAAGGGCCGGAGAGCTCTCGCTGCCGAGAGGAGAGTGACACTGGGAGTGATGACATCACCAGGTGCATGTCCTCTGTGGAGAACGGCCACAACATGCAAAGAAAGGAAGAGAGATCACTGGTTAAAAAGCGAGGTCTGTACAGCTGGAGCTCACCGCTAATGGAGGCAATTTACGAACACAAAGATAAGACAAAGACCTCAGATCGTGAGTAAGGGGTGCGGGTGTGCTCTTATCATTGCGTGGGACAGTAATGAGGAAATGTGGCTTGCCGAGCTACAAGATACTGGAACCGTAAAGGAGTTCAACTACCGTCAAGCCTCCCTTCCTTCTGAACAGATACTGTACGTGTAGCTGCATTACAGGTTAAAGAAGCTAACTACACCAAACTAATCGTGCAATTTCAATTTAATACTATATACTAACACTTTATTTTGCTTTTGGCTTGCTTTGGGCTTGCTCAGTTGGGGTTATTTAGTGTTTAGCAATGTTGTTGATCTGTGTTGTACTACTTTCATGTTATCACTGTGAAGCTGCTTTGATACAATCTGTATTGTGAAAAGCGCTATATAAATAATTGTGACTTGACTTGACTTGACTATTTTAGGGTCCAACACTTTATTTAGAGATTTTGTTTACATTTTTTGCCGCTCCAGTCAGAAAGACTGAGAGAAAATGAAAACAAGTTACATTTATTTTTAATAACCTAAAAGATTCAGGGCTTTTGACAAAACATTCAGGGCTTAAGCCCAATTAGCCAGCCCCTCGCTCCACCCCTGGGGTCAATTATGGACTAACCCAAATGTTGGGTCAAAAATGTCATTTAAAATTTTAACCAAACTTCAACTTTCACTTTCAACTGTTTTAATTACATTTTTGACCCAACATTTGGGTTTGTCCATATTTGACCCAAATTTGGGTTGAAACAACCCAGCATTGTTTAGAGTGTAACCACTACCTGACCATTAATAAGCAGTCATTAGGAGTTTAAAGGGATACTCCACTTTTTTTGGAAATAGGCTCATTTTACCTCTTCCCCAGAGTTAAACAGTCGAGTTTCACTGTTTTCGAATCAATTCAGCCGATTTTCTGATATTTAGAAGAATATATCAGTATAACCAGACAGTTTCTGGTCTCATTGACTTCCATAGTAGGAAAAAAATATATAAGTCAATGAGACCAGAAACTGTCTGGTTACTGATATATTCTTCTAAATATCAGAAAATCGGCTGAATTGGTTCGAAAACGGTGAAACTCTGGGGAAGTGGAGTATCCCTTTAAGCAGTGTTGTAGTCAAAACCACCTCACTCGAGTCCAGAGAGAGTCGAGTCCGAGTCGAGTCCGAGACCAGTGAGGGTTGATTACCTAATTTACTTTTATTTACTTAGAGAAATCCTTTTTTTTTTTTTTTTTTTTTTACTGAATTTACTTAGAGTTTTAAAAATATGATCAGTTTAGGGTAAAAAGGCCACATAGTAGGTGGTGTTAAAAGTAATTTTATTACAATTTGTCATGCACAGTTGCGCACTAGAAAATCACCAATCACTGGGTGTGTCAATCAATTTAAAGAAATATTTTATTAACATACACTAATAATCATGAAAAATATTTTTAATTGAACTCGAGTGGACTCGGGAATAAGTCCGAGTCCTAAAAAAAAATGTTTTCAAGTACGAGTCAATTCCGAGTCCAAATGGACACGAGTCCATGACAAGACCAAGACCATTAAAATATGGTCTCGAGACCGAGTCCGAGACGAGTCCGAGTCTCCAGTACTACAACACTGCCTTTAAGGCAAGTTTCATAATTAATAGTTAGTTAATAGTTATTGGATCCTAATCTAAAGTGCGAATATCAATCACTGTATACAAATTTACAGATAAAATGTACACTAAATGCAACCATTAAAACTAAAAGACTACGTCATTTATATAACCGAGTAAAAACAGTGATAACGAGCTCCATTTTGTATTATTTATTCATGTTTTTTAATTATATTCATTTCAGACTTGATTCCAGGAGAGTTAGCTCAGCTTTGTACAGTATAACGTAAAAAGAGCGATGTAGTGTTTTGTCACGCTACACTGCTAATTGTTGGAAAAACAACTTATTATTGGAAAACAACACTAATTTTGACAACACCGGCGGGCGCAGCCGTCATATTACAGGAGGATGTGCCGTAGTTAAGCAGTGCTCCTATTAATTAGTGTGTGTGGAGGACGCTGCATTGCCGAGTCGCCTCTGTTTTCGAGCTCACTTACTCCTCTGCACTCGAGCGCAGCAGAACGCCCCCAGGGTCCCGATGAGGACGACGAGAGCCAGGAACGCTCCCACTGCGACCCCGATGATGACGGCCAAGCGCAGAGACCCTAAGGAGAACACAGAACCGCCGCGATCATCAGACAACCGCTGACAGAACGGAGAACTCATGAACGTGCGATCAGGAGCCTGTTTGTCACTCGAGGAGACATAATGAAGTCGTGTCCCATTAAATCCCACGGGATGAGCTGACCTCCTTCAGTAACTCAGCTCGGCACCTTGGGACCGAGGAAAATGGGCCAGTATTTGAATAAAAAATACCATCTAATTTCATTTAAATATTTCAAAGAAATCCTATAGGCAAGTTCAAAGGATTACGGGCTGTTTAGATTGGAGCACAAATGGAAGTTATGAATAAGTGGGAACTCCACAGATTAAAGTAGGTGACATTTACCTGAATAAACAGTCAATGCTGTGAGAAATCACGTGATTATCACCTTGCTCTCTGAGGCGGATGATCTCGGTGTCGGAGCCGAAGCTGTTCCAGGCGGTGCAGTTGTAGATGGTCTGGAAGTCCGCAGGGACGATGTTGCTCATGGTGAGGGTGGAGATGACCCCTTCCTCTGTGCTGACCGTCTCCACGGTGTACCGGCCCGACGTTCCAGACTCCAGCACGGTTTCTTTCCACGACCATGCCTAGTGCACAGCATAAAAACAGGACTTTCAAGAACACAAGTGAAGCATTTCAGGGCAGTTTTGCCATTGTGAAAGACTCGAGCCCACGAGCGCAGCGGGTCAGCTGGATTAATGCACTTTTTACTTAGACTGAAAAAACGCTTTTGCGGTTCAGTCCATTCTGCTTCTTCCCAGCATGCATGGAGTCATGAATAATTAATGTGGTTGCATTGTCTGACGGTTTGCCAATCTGATTTACACCGGCTGCTCTGCGATGTCAGGAGGAGTTTGTTCCTCCATTTAAAGTGATTGATTGTTTGGTGCGAGTGTTAAAGGTCTGTGTGTGGTGGTGTTTCACAAAGGGTTTGTTTCTGTGGCCCCGTGAGAGGTCATGTAATGTTGTCAATAGTTTTGGACTCGAGTCTCCTTCACATTCATCTGGAAAACATAATAAAACTAATCATGCATAAAACTGGAGTTGCTATAAATAATTATATCATTTAATATTACAGCAGAAGTCGAGGCAACTTGACATTTTAAATCCAGTCAAGACATTTACTTTAAGAAAAGGAATTCATCTCTCCCCTCATTATTTAAAGGGTTCGTCCACTCAATCATCTCGTTCAACCCCGTTCATCTTCTGAACACAAATGAAGATATTTCTGATTAACTCTGAGAGCTGGATCGCTCCTCCATAGGCTTCTACTGTAATTGAAACTTGCCAGCCCAGAGAGTTAGTAAAGACATCGTTAAAATAGTCCAAGTGACGACAGCGGCTCAACCTTAAGATTATGAAGCGACGAGAAACTATAAAAGACTTTTTAATAAACAAAAATAACGACTGTGAGTGAGTTCACGTAGTGTACCAGCGCAGCGCCTCTGGGTCGGACGTCACACGTAGGCTCGCTATTGGCCGACGCTGGTCATGTGTGTGATGCTGGCCAATAGTCATAGACATATACACTAAACCTCACCTTGGGGTTCTAAGCATGCGTCAAAACCGCCGCCATCTTGGAACAGGGGTCTTGTGATAGGAAGTAGCTAGGTAACGCTGCTATCTCTGCCTTTACGTCGAATTCATTGATGGTGGCGGACTTTTGTGCAGCGTATGAAGTTCACGGATGAAATCTGAACTAGGAAGAATGTTTTTAAAAAAAAAAAAAAAAAAAAATGTTCTTTCTGGAATCAATGATAAATACATGCCTGACTGTTGGAACAAACCAAAAAACAAGAAAAATCGCATTCATGATGATTTATGGTGATTTTATTTGCGTTAGACCTGTGTCCTAGCTCCCCTGTTTCAAGATGGCGGCTCTATTGACGCATTCGTTCCAATGAACTGCCGTAGCCAAGGTGACGTCTAGTGTATATGTCTATGGCCAATAGTGAGCCAAAGTTCAAAGTTCATTTGAATATATTGTAAAATGTAATTTATTTCAGCTGAATATTCAACATGTCATCCATTCACATGATCCTTCAGAAATCATTGTAATATGCTGATTTGGTAGCAGTTGTTATTATTGAGAACAGCAGTGCTGATTCATATTTTTGTTGTCTCACTGTTATGACTTTAATGAAACTGATTGAGAAGTATGTTTGTGGACTCACGATGCGGTCGGGAGGGGGGGTGCTGCGGATGAAGCACTTGATCTGGCCCTTCTCCCCGTACAGCGCCTGCTGCGTCTGTGTGCTGGAGATGCTGGGAGGTCCTGAAACACACAACACACACTCACATCAGCACACACACACACTGCTGCCGCTTTTACTATCTCAAACCTGTTTTTGATCATCTTAAAAACGCATTCAAACTATGAGCTTTTGAGTCAGAGAACGGCAGCTTCCCGTGAGCGAAACTACGATAGAGACGATAGTCCAAAATCTCTATAGGTACATCGCCGGCCCCAAAACAGATTAGCAAAAGGAGAAAAAAAAATGTATTGATTAAATGGACTTGATTAGGTTACTAGATGTTTCACATTTTAATATAAATTTATCTAAAAATAAAAAGTACAAAATGAAATGCATGAATGAATCATTCACAAAAGGATCAATAAGTTGCACTTAGAAAATAAACAAATTTCAATATCGTGTACTTTAAACAATGCTGGGGTGTTTTAACCCAAAATTCGGGTCAAATATGGACAAACCCAAATGTTGGGTTTAATGTCACTTAAAATTTGATCCAAACTTTTCATTTTTTTTTTTAATTAAATTTTTAACCCAACATTTGTCCATATTTGACCCAGTGTACCAAATATAACAGTCAAATTTACTGAAAAGATCCAACTCCAATAATGATTTGATCGTACATTTCCATTTTCTCACGAATTCACCAAAGCGAGCTAAGTGGATGTTTAGATTTGTTATTTGCTGAATAATAACCCTGTCACATGACTTGACTGTGGATTGCATGGAAGTCTTTATGTGCTTTTTCAGTGGTTTGGCGCTCGACAGTTCCAGAGCTCATTATATTGAAAAGTGGCATGATATTCTCCAAGTGTGTGTGTGCTCCACGGAAGAAAGACTGGAATGATACGGCGAGTAAATGATGACAATACTGGCTCTTCCCATTGCATCTTATTCAACCAAACTGGAAATAATGCTTAGAGTAAACTTTAATTTCAGAAATAATTAAAAGTGAAAGAGAAAGGAGGGAGATAAAATCATAATAAATGCAATCAAAACATTTCTCCATCCACAGCAGATTGAGGCTCATTGTGTCTCAATGCGAAAACAGATTTTCATTTTAATTGGAGTTGGTGTGTGTCTGTGTCTGTGTGCGAGTGCTGTCCCATCCATTCCAGACGGCAGGCTCAGACACAAGCACACCGCACCAGGACGGCGGCGGCACACGATAATACAGGTTTGGGACCACAAAAGTGCACATGATGGCAGAGTTTATATTATTGATTGAATAATTCCTGGATTAGACTCAAGCAAGTCACACACACGCCGGCCCGACCCCGACCTCGACACAGCAGAGATTACGGATCCACAGATCTTGAACAGGAGCGGTGTTATTGCAAAGCCCTGAGGACTTCTTCAGAGTTTCCATCAAAACAAATGGATAAAGCATACAAAGCTCCAGAACATTTTTCATGAGCTGCTCTACAGAGAGAATAACCAATAAAATAACGCCTACAGCGAGAACAACCCAAACACACACACATATGTATATGGTCTCTGCTGGCGCTGGGATTATTTCAGCTCGCACGAATGGCCTGTGATTTTTTTTAAATTATATTTTAGGGAAAGACGCTTCTTGAAGTGTTGATTCAGAAACCTGGAGTCCTTTAAGCAAATCACTCGGCCTCGTGTGCCCGTGTTTGTCATCTATTGACGAGCGAGAGGAACTGATGAGAGCGGTTCGAGATCATCTCTCCTGATTACGGCCCGTATCTCTGAGGGTCATACACTGCCTGTCTCTGTTATTGCAAAGCTAAACAGTGTGGAAAACATCCGCTTTACCCCGAGACAAATGTGCCTGATCCGACTTCAGAGAGGCTCTTCCAGCTCTCGTGAGGCAAAGCAATCAAACCCAGCAAATGAGGATTTGCAGACGGCAGACTGCATATAGTATATATAGAGAGAGAGCGGTTAAAGTACTCACCGTTGACAGTAAGCATGACCTCCTTCTCTCCCACTCCCACTCGCGGCACCACAGCGCGACACACGTATTTCCCAGCATCCTCCTGTCTCACGGCCTTCAGTGTCAAGGTGTTCTCGTTACTCAGCACCTGCGAGGGAACAGATGTTCACAACGCCACAGTCTCAGCAACTTCGCAGATATCATTCAAAAGTTTTCTCTTGAAGCAAACCCATGAAGCAGAAGCGCTCCTATAATTACTCATCACCGTAACACAAACACAGCCTCTGCCTCGAGTTTACACTTCAGTTGTGAGATCCTAACAGATGACGACCCGAACGAACACAGTGTGCACTACTGAGAACAGAATTAATCGTTTTAATTCATCACATCCAGATGGAGAATTAAATAAAGCTCCATAAGTCAGGGTTGCTAACTGGAAATAATGTATAAAAAATGTAAAATAAAAGCACATACTGTAGCAAAATGACTAAAACTTGAATGTAATGTAAAATACAAAAAAGGATTGAAACTTAAAGGATTAGTTCACTTTTGAAAAAACTTTTGCTAATAATTTCCTCACCCCCGTGTCATACAAGATGTCCATGTCTTTCTTTCCTCAGTCGAAAAGAAATTAAGGTTTTTGATGAAAACATTCCAGGATTTTCTCCATATAATGGACTTCAATGGGGACCAAACGGTTCAAAGTCCAAAAGACAGTTTCAGTGCAAACTGTTCAAATGTCTTTAAACGACACCAGACGATGAATAAGGGTCTTATCATGCGAAACGATGTAAAATGTAACAAAAATGTAACTTTTCTAAGGACAAATGCCAACCTTGCTCTTTTCTGTGAAGCGCGTTTGTAACGTCACGTAATACGTAATTACGTTCAAAAGGTCACGGGTGATGTTGCCGGAAGTACAGAGTCAGTGTTTACAAGTTGAACGTGCAAACTAACTCAAACGCTGTTTACAAAAAAAGGAATGAAAAGGTAAAACAACGATGTTGGACGATTTTGATTCTGTACTTCCGGCTACGTCGCCCGTGACCTTTTGAACGTAATTACGTATTACGTGACGTTACAAACGCGCCTCACAGAATAGAGCAAGGCTAGCATTTGTCCTTAGAAAAGTTACATTTTTGCTACATTTTAGATCGTTTCGCTTGATAAGACCCTTATTCATCGTCTGGTGTCGTTTAAAGCCCTTTGAATAGTTTGCACTGAAACTCTCATTTGGACCTTGAACCGTTTGGACCCCATTGAAGTCCATTATATGGAGAAAATCCTGGAATGTTTTCATCAAAAACCTTAATTTCTTTTCGACTGAAGAAAGAAAGACATGGACATCTTGGATGACACGGGGGTGAGGAAATTATCAGCAAAAGTTTTTTCAAAAGTGAACTACTCCTTTAATGCTAATTCTAAATATGAATAGGACTATAAGAGTATAGATTGTAAGAGTATGAAGTACGTACGACTCCATGGCCCCTTTTCATCCAGACGATGGTGAGAGAAGGGTTTCCAATCCAAGCGCAGCTGAACACGGCGTCAGAACCGCGGTCCACCTGCAGGCTCTGGGGGTCGGCGGCCAGACGAGGCCCGACTGTAAAACACACACCAGCGGTCACATGCGCTCGTGCAGGTTTGAAATGACATCACAAACACACACAGTATAAACTCACAGTACACGTCCACATTGCGGCTGATGTTGGTGCTGCCCAGGGCATTGGTGACCGCACAGGACACGGGCTCAGTGAAGAACGAATGATCCACCAGAACCTCATACGTGTCTCCCGTCACCTCTGTGATCAGGTTTCCTCCCTTCGCCCATCTAATTATCCACACACACAGAAAGACATGAACAGCCCTGATGGACGCTGCCGAGGATCTGCTGGAACGATCAAAGGTGTTTCTCACAGGATAATGACTGAGATCATGTCACATCTGCATAGTGTACCGAAACAACAAAAGCAGAGCATCTAATGTCGTTTCAGGAGACCGCATGTGTTTTTGCCGTTTCATTTTCATGCTGTCAACAGGCCGTGTCTCTTTGGCGGAAGAATAACAGGCACGCATTAAGAGGTTTTTAGAGGCTCGCTCTGTCACCGGCACGCTTTGATGCCGCAAACTCATAAAGAGGAGAAACCACAGACGACAGCGCCGGCGAACGCCATCAGACGGGAGATCAAGCACATCCAGATGGACTTTTGTTTGCATCTCATGAAAAAAGTGGACAGCGTTACAGAAATAAAAAACAATTTGATATAATGAATGCGTTCAACACAACTCTCTGCTTTTTATTTGATGTTTTCATCACTTTTATTGGCAGTGACGACGCTCCCTTTCCCCTGCTGGACACAAACCAGTGGCACCATTGGAATATTTTGCTGTCTTTGCAACATATTTTTAATAATTCCTTATTAACATGAGAATGTCTTAACAATTAATGTCCACTTGTATTTTAACAGGTATTTGTGTCTTTATTAACATTTTGAATGCTTTTGAAAGAAGTCTCTGATCAAAAATACAGTAAAAACAGTGATATTGTGTGTGAAATTATCTGTTAATGTATTTTTTAAATGTCATCTGTAAAATGTTATTCCAGTGATAGCAAATGTGCATTTTCAACAGCGCAACAATATTTGTCTGCAAACCATGATCTTGTATCGTGTGTCGTATATCCAGCACAGTCCAATCACGTTTGAGAGGGAAACAACAAAGTTAAAGTCATCATGAGCACTCCCAAAAATGATATTCGAGTAAAGTACAGATGCTGTACTAGAACTGTACTAAAGTGCTGTACTCAAGTAAATGTACTCCGTTGCTGTCTAATTTAGTGCAATATTTGACAAATTCACTATTTATTCCCCCCAAAAAACTGTAAATATGTTGATAATCTGCATGTAAATCTGTGTATTCTCACATGTCTAAACTTTTGTTGTATTTATACTGTATGTGTGCACTGGAAGTTTCTGGCTGACAACACCTCGTCCTTGTCTTGAGAATGCCATTATTCTTTCTTTCCCCCCAGAAATCTTTGATGAATAGAAAGTTAAAAAAGATCAGCATTTATCTGAATTATAAATATTTTGCAATGTAAAATACTGTCATTTGTGATCAGTTTATTGTGTCCTTGCTGATTAAAAGAATTAGTTTCTCTAAACTTGTGAAGAGTTGTGATATTCCCACGCACTCGCCAGACGGCTCTGAAACTTCGTCGGCTGAAGATCCAAGTTTTATTCCAAGACGAAACAAACCAAGCATGCCGTTCTCTCGCCGTTGCTGACTTCTAACACACACTTGCAGCGTTTGCCGTGTTCTCGCATCTGTCAGAGCACAAACCAAAGCTGATCATCTCTGTGTGTTTATATCGTCTCCGGGAACATTGAGCAAGATTGTTTAGTCCATTAGATGGAAAGATGTGTAAAAACATACATAGACCCTCTCCTGGAAGAAATCCGGACAGAAGTGCTTGAATGTGGACAAAACAGAGTAAACAAGATGGTCTTCCTCGTCCATTTGTGAGCCAATCTACCAGAAGCAGGTGCACACAGGGCCTGAGCCTCATGCAATCAGCGATTCGTTCTTAAAATGACGAGTCAAATTAAATCTGCATTCAGTTCCTCTTCACTGCGCATCAGCCCTTCAAAACAGAAGAACACGTCCTTGTGTGTGTGTGTGTGTGTGTGTGTGAATCTGCTCTCTCCACAGCACACGGCCACTTTGATGGAGACTCAAACACACATCGCCAGCATGTTCATCATGTGTGTGTGACTTCTGAACCCCTACAGGCCGAGACTCCAACACACTCTTTCCTCTGTGTTTCTTTGGGGACGGCAGCCTCCATGTGAACTCACACACGCACACACACACACACCTGTCAATCTCAGCAGGAGACAGCCTGGCCAGCTCGAAACACGATGAGAAGGGAAGGAGAGAAGTGTTTTATCCGCAGCGATGGACAGATATCTGTTTTGTGATATGTAAACGTGATATGTTTGTGATATGTATCCGTTTCATCACATTGTAAACGTGCAGCTATAATCCAGGGCCACACGATTAACTGTGCAGAGTCTAAAATGAAGATATTCCTGCGGATCACAGCGGGTCTCTGCCGTCTCATCACGGATCCAAACCAACACCGGAAAGGCCTTATTACATCCTCTTAGGAGAACTCAATTTCATCAATTGCAATGGTGCCAATGTTCAGTGTAAGCTGTTTATGAAATTATTATAATCTGGTATTTGTTGCTAAAATAGAAAAAAGCGGCAAACAATTTCCATGCATCTTTGACATTTAAGTGATTAACTGTCTTAGTTTAATTTAATCAAGACCCAGAGCAGTCTGGGAAACTACAGCGTCTCTCGTTGAGACGAGGCCTGACGTACTCAAAGAGGAAAACACTGTGTTATACAGACTTTATCTCACAGAAGGACAAGAGAATAAAACACAAACCACAAATAAAACACCAGCCAATCGTGCTCTCGAACCTTCACCGTACACAGATCAAGATCTTTACATCATATACATACAAAACCTACAATAAACAGCCGACACAACACCTGTGGAAAACAGCATTTGCTTTCTAAGATGCTGTCTGTCTCTAATTAAACACGTGTGTGTGTGTGTGTGTGTGTGTGTGTGTGAAGCGTCTCCATCAGCAGCGAAGCCACATGTTCCCATCAAACGCTCGACACGCCCAACGAGCGTCTCCCATTAGACACGTCAGAGGTGACAAATGAGGATCAGACGAGACAAATCACCCACACCCCTGGAGGGACACCAACACACACTTTACCAACACACACTTTACCAACACACACTTTACCAACACACACTTTACCAACACACACTTTACTCTCAGTGTCTGACTGCATCCATTAAAGTCCCACAACTGCTCTTACGACTGCATGATATTCTTACCATTCTCACTGATTATGCCATTTTGACTCCTACATTCTTTTCATGTTGTGGACAAGACACGTCACACTACACGTTACTTCCCGACTACACTCTCAGAAAAAAGGTACAAAAGCTGTCACTGGAGCTGTACCTTTTCAAAAGGTAAACTTTTGTCCATTTCAGGTGCTAATATGTACATTTTTTTGTGTTAATATGTACATTTCAGGAGCTAATATGTCCATTTTAGGTGTTAATATGTCCATTTTAGGTGCTAATATGTACATTTTTTAGTGTTAATATGTACATTTCAGGTGCTAATATGTAAATTTTTAGTGTTAATATGTACATTTCAGGTGCTAACATGTCCATTTTAGGTGCTAATATGTACATTTTTAGTGTTAATATGTACATTTCAGGTGCTAATATGTCCATTTTAGGTGCTAATATGTACATTTTTAGTGTTAATATGTACATTTCAGGTGCTAATATGTGCATTTTAGGTGCTAATATGTACATTTTTAGTGTTAATATGTACATTTCAGGTGCTAATATGTGCATTTTAGGTGCTAATATGTACATTTTAGGTGCTAATATGTACATTTTTTAGTGTTAATATGTCCATTTTAGGTGCTAATATGTACATTTTTTAGTGTTAATATGTACATTTCAGGTGCTAATATGTACATTTTTAGTGTTAATATGTACATTTCAGGTGCTAATATGTCCATTTTAGGTGCTAATATGTACATTTTTAGTGTTAATATGTACATTTCAGGTGCTAATATGTGCATTTTAGGTGCTAATATGTACATTTTTAGTGTTAATATGTACATTTCAGGTGCTAATATGTACATTTTAGGTGCTAATATGTACATTTTAGGTGCTAATATGTACATTTTTAGTGTTAATATGTACATTTCAGGTGCTAATATGTGCATTTTAGGTGCTAATATGTACATTTTAGGTGCTAATAAGTACATTTTAGGTGTTAATATGTACATTTTAGGTGCTAATATGTACATTTTTGGTGTTAATATGTACATTTCAGGAGTTAATATGTCTAGTTTAGTTCCTAATATGTAAATTTTTAGGTGTTAATATGTCCATTTTAGGTGCTAATATGTACATTTTTAGTGTTAATATGTACATTTTAGGTGCTAATATGTACATTTTTGGTGTTAATATGTACATTTCAGGAGTTAATATGTCTAGTTTAGTTCCTAATATGTAAATTTTTAGGTGTTAATATGTCCATTTTAGGTGCTAATATGTACATTTTTAGTGTTAATATGTACATTTTAGGTGCTAATATGTACATTTTTAGTGTTAATATGTACATTTCAGGAGCTAATATGTCTATTTAGGTGCTAATATGTACATTTTTAGTGTTAATATGTACATTTCAGGTGCTAATATGTACATTTTAGGTGCTAATATGTACATTTTTAGTGTTAATATGTACATTTCAGGAGCTAATATGTCTAATTTAGTTCCTAATATGTATATTTTAGGTACTAATATGTACATTTTAGGTGTTAATATGTACCACTAAGGTACCAATATGCCAATATTTTGAAAAGGTACAGCCCCAGTGACAGCTTTTGTACCTTTTTTTCTGAGAGTGTAGCTGTCTTAAACAACGTGCGTGATGTCATCGAAAAGGCAGAACTAGCGACTGACTTTCCAGAGTGTTGTACAAGCCTAATGCTAATCCAGTATCCAGTTGCTTCGCTATCGTTCGCCAGTATTTATCTTCTTTCAGCCAAGGAAATATCATTTAGAAAATCACGCTGATATCATGTAGTCTGAACCCGACATTAGAGTTCAAGAGAGTTCAGAGATGCATTTTCTTTGACTCTTTTCTTGTGGCTTATTTTCGAGAGCAGTGTCTTTTATTGAACGCTCCATGACGGTGTTATTTGGGTTTCGAGGTCTGGGTTCAGGATAAATGAAAGGCCACATCTTTGCAAAAGAAAGAGCAGAAGTCTCCATGCGATTTCACTGTCGCTGTGAATTTCACGCGCGCTACATCACACCGCTAACGGGGACAGCGCAGTGCTTTTCTCCATACAGTCCGGCTTACCGGCATCACACACACACTTCACAGTGTCACAGCACATCTGTATTCATGTAGGGACGCTTAAGCAATATAGAGCGGTGGTTCCGATATTCAGACCAGCAGCAGAATTTTATTACAACTTATTGCCAAATTATTAATTGTTCCTTTACCTATTCTTGCTCCACAAATGGGAAAAGCAACAAAAGCTAATAGAACCCATTATAAGCAGTGATGCTGTCTACACCGGATGTGGAGCGGCACGGTCATTTTCAGACAGCAAACTGATACACTCTGGTGTAGACATGGTGTAATCTACGCCACACGAGAATTAAGGAGTCGCATTTCTGAACGAACAAGGTGATTCAATGATTCACTTAGTTGAGTGAATCAGAGTTTGGAAGAATCAGTTGAGAGAATGATTCAACCAGTCACTCATAAAGATTGTCAAAGTTTATTTGTATATTTTTATATAATTATGAGTGAATGACTCACTTATTTAAAAAGTCACTAATTTAAAACAGCAACCTACTGGCGTAACAATATAACACGCAGAAATAATGTTAATTTATCTCTAAAAATGCTATATATATATATTACAAACAGAAATGCAAAAAATGCAAACAACATAAAAAGGTTGAATAAAATCATTTTCATTAGTAGACTCAAAATGTTGCAGTTGACCAACATCGACCAATGAAAAATCCCTTTCAGTCGACCCCTAGTGGAGCTGTGAGATCACTGCGCGCCAGATGCCATTAGCCATAATATTGCTCAATGAAATTATTAAAAGCCACCAATGAAAAATCCTCAAGGTCTTAAATGGCCATCACGACCGCTGAACATAAAGGCTTTATTTTTGCTAATTAATTTACAGCTTCACTAATCTCATTTCAAATGCCACAGGAGGACAGTGATGGGTTTTGTTTGTGCGAGCGGCTGGACCGGACGCTTCCAATAAGCAATGCTACATTTGTGTCTGACAAAAAAAAAAAAAACAGAACAAAACAAAGTTAAATTAATTTCCATATTTATGTAAACAAAATGAACATGAATAAAATATTGGCTAGTGAAAATAATCCTTCCTCTTTCTAGTGAGCAGCTCTAATCCTCTCAGAGGAACGGTGTAATGCCCACAGGAAATCTCCCGCAATCAGGAATGACTTTCTCCGTAATTAGTTGGGCTTCTGTGTGAATTCCAATGCTGTGTTTCTCCGAGGAGAAGACGCCGCTCTCCGAGTGGAAGTTTCCCTGTGCTTGACGGATGACGTTACACTCGGCCGAGGGTTCGTTCTGTGGCACGCGAGGGACAGGAGACACACGAGAGAGCGTCTGGTGTGTGTGTGTGTGCTTCTTTAGACCGCTCCGGAATGAATAATGCATGAAACTCTAATGGGAAGAAGGTGAGGCCGTCTCTAGCTCCACACTGATTAAAAAGATGTTCAGAGTGACGCCGGCTCTCGCTAAATGATGAAGATGTTCAACTAAATGCAGACAAATGTGTTCCTAACCAACAGATTACTACCATTTCAGGATCAAAAACGATCAAAAACGCATGAAATGTTCATTTGACTTGAATTTATAGTTATCGTAATATTATTATTTTTTAGTTTTGGCTTTGAAATGAACATATATTCTACAACAGATCACTATATTTCTTATTATTATCAACATTTTTGTGGAAACGGTGATCCGTTTTACAGGATTCTTAAATGAATATAAGGTTTGATTTAAAATAAAAATCTTTTGTTACATTATGCATGTCTTTACTGTCGCTTTTGATGCATCCTTGCTGAAATAAAAGTATTCATTTATTTTAAAAACAATCTTATAGATTCCACCTCTTAATGCGACTTCTGACGAATAGTGCATATCTACCATGTTAAAGATAATATCAATCATCAATGCATTAATATTTATGAGCTAAGCCTTCAAAACTCTGTCACAACCAGCACAAAAAACAACAACTTTATCCCTCAGGTGCTCTTCGTTTCTGAGTCACACTTGTTATCTTCCCGGTCAAAAGTGACCGGACACCAAAAAATGAAACTTTCTCCATCCCAGTAAAACCAATGCAATTTATTTTTGTTCTATAATATTTATTCTTTTTAATTTAGTATTTTGAGACAATTTAATTGAATTTATTAATATTTACGCACTATTTATGGTTTATTTTTGCCATGGAAAAATATATATATATTTTTCTATAAATATATATATATATATATATATATATTTTTTTTTTTAAATATTAATGCAGTATTTTAGTTTAATATAGAGTCTAGACCTTCAATAAAAAAATATTTTTTGAAGAAAATTAGCACCATCTGGTTACAGTATTGAGAAAAAGCGTAGAATCATGGTGTAACCACTAGATGGCATGTACAGCTCTCTATGGAGAGGCATGTGAATTCCCCAGCTGTTTATGAACACATTTTGTTGTTGTTGTTGTTGGATTTGAATATATAGTTGAAACAATCTCAAAAACTATTTTTTATTAAAAAATTTGACAAAAAAACAAAAATTCACAATTTTTTTTTTACATTTTTTACAATTTCCCATTCATTTCCTATGGGGGTCATTTTTGACCGAAGAACACAAGTGTGACTATCTTTTTTACGACCACTTAGCATGCTCAGATCATGACCTCAATTTTTTATTTTATTTTTTTTGTCAATTTCCCATTCATTTCCTATGGTCGGTCATTTTTGACCGAAGAGCACAAGTGTGACTATTTTTACGACCACTTAGCATGCTCAGATCATGACCTCAATTTTTTTTTGTGTGTTCACATACATAATGCCATAAAAGTCACCAAGTTACGTAACAACCCGATGAAACTGTGATTTTTAAAATTTCAAAACAGAAAATTTTTCGGTCAGAAATGACTGAAGAGCACCTGAGGGTTAAAACTTTTTTGCTACAAAGTAATGTAAAACTACCCACAAAAACGTACTAGATTGGCATATGATTTTTGTGTGGTTTTGGAAGATTTCTCCAAGCTCTTGTGTGCCTCAAACTCTACTGTACTTTCATGTGATCACGAGTTGAAACGAAAACATGAATGTATGTCATGAAACCATAGATGTTGCTGCTGTGAGATGAACACGAGACATTCATGTGTTTTTCTGCACAATAACAAAAACATCAGGAGAGTACACGAAGGGGATCTGGGACATGTGTGTGTGTGTGTGTGTGTGTGTGTGTGAGTGCGAGCTCTCACCTGTAATGAGTGACAGGGGGATTGGCTTTAGCAGAACAATAGAACTTGACCAGATTGCCTTCCAGAACCGGCTGCGGCTCCACAGAGAGGTTCACCAGCGGGAAATCTGGAGGACAGAGAGAACCGGTCAACTTCATCACACACTCGTTAATACACACTCGTCAGAGAGATTAATTATGGATTAAAGAACTAACCAAAAATACTCTAAAAAGTGGGAACGGCTTGATTGTTATTCTTTCCCCCAGTAATGAGAGCTACTTTGCATTAAGATTAATTGGCGCCTTCTAACAGCTGAATTAGAATTTAAACAACTTCTAAAATGAGCAAGATTAAAGAGAGTTTTTGTCGAAATGAACAAATAGATTGATTACACAAATTAAACAAACAGCGGCCAAATTCACATTAAGCAAAAGCGATATTTAACCCCAGACTCACTTTCAGAAGACAATTACATTTTATTTATACGAGTTTAATGCAGCGCTGGAATTCTCGTTAAAAAAGATGGCAGTTTCAATTAAAAGAAAAGAAAGTTTGAAATGCGTTTGAAATTTATGGCTCAAGGCAATCTTACATAGTTTGCTTTCATTCCCTCCTTTCCGATCACACACACACACACACACACACACACACCCAAACGACAGCAGATGTGACAGCGGACCGTAAGGCGCTGACACGTCCAGAGCAGAAGTGTGTGTGTGTGTGTGTGTGTGTGTGTGTGTGTTTGGACACAGGTCCTGTTGGACATTAACAAGGCCAGCGGTAGAAACATCAAATCACAGCAATCCCAGACAGCAGTGGGTCCTCCTTTAATATGAGGAAAGCTCCAACGATCTGTCCAGAGCTGTGATAGACGCAGCGCTGGGTCCGAGTCCTCATTAGCAGTCTGCAGACGTCACTCGCACGAGGACAGATGTTTCATTCATGATGCCTTATGGCGCGGGACTAGTCATTTAAAACTAACCTGAAGGCTTTCTGAAAAGCGGCGTATTCGAATATATTAGAGAAACAATAACAGCGATTCAGTGTTAGCAAGAGTCAAACGGACTACCTCAACTGTACATGCAGAGAGTTCCTCAGTCAGTTGATTTCAACTATGAATTATCCATTAAACCAGCAGAAACGTTCTTATAAATATATTTCTGTCATGAGGACTATTAGAGATTGGCACAGTAACAGATACAGCGGTGTTCATGTATTTGGTCTTGATGGAATAAATCTGATGCTATATTGATTTTTGCTGTTGCTTCAGAGCGAGTACAAAGACTTGCAACTGCAAACACACACACACACACACACACACACGCACACACACACACACACACACACACTGCTGTGAGCAAGATCACTTTCTATGAACTACTTCAAAGTTCACTTCACAAATTTAAATAAACTAGTTCAGTTCAAAGGTCATATTTCACAATTTTGAACTAAGTTCACGGTTCAAAAAAATGGTTCATAGTTATTTTTTCCATATGTTGCTGTGCATTCCAGACGAGTGTAATTGCATCTGGTTGTTGATTTTACTCCTCCCAAAAATGCTAAAAATAACCGTGTGTTGTAGGCTATATGTCATGTTATAGTGAGATATGACGGATACTGCCACACACACACACAGAGATTGAGCATTCATTGAGCTAACGCACAAACTATCACAAATCAAACTGAAAGTAAGTTGCAGATGCTTAATTAGGGTGAGCATATTTTGATTACCGAAAACCAGAACACTTGGCCAGATACTCTAATGATACTCCAAGTTTACTCAAAGCTGCCTTATTAATGTCACATGTAAAGTAGGCTGTGCCTCCTCTGTATGGATAGAAAATTGTTATATTACAAGACACAAATTCAGACAGGCTTCTCAGAGGTTCCTCAACATAAACTACATTTTTCATATATTAAAAATAAATATATAAATGACTAAAACAAAAATGAACAAAAATGGCTTTCACAAACTTACAAAATATATTTATATCTTTAGTTTTCTTGCTTTTTATCTTGTTTTTCTTCATCACACTCTAATAAAATGCTGGGTTATTTCAACCCAAATTTGGATCAAATATGAACAAACCCAAATGTTGGGTTAGAAATGTAATTTAAAAAAATCACAGTCAAAGTTGGGTTCAAATTTTAAATTACATTTTTAACCCAACATTTGGGAAAATACCAGTTCACTACTTCGACATCAGAAATTCACTCTACATTTAATGTGTTACCAACAATTTCTTTAGTTATTAGCAATTTCCTAGTAAAATAGTTTTTGAGTATTTTTTGTATTTTTTATTTATTTTTTATTTTTTTGAAAGTATTTTTGAGCACACATTTTTCTCAGTGCATCTGTTCATTTGTACTTTGTACTGATAAACAGGTCTTGCATGTGTTGCTGCTTTTATTCAAGTCTTTTAAAATAGCTGAATGAATGTGATATGTGCTTTCATAAATTTAACCATATTAAACATATTTAATCACACTGAAAGAACTACTACTTAGAATATTAGGAATGTTGCATAAACATGTAATTTATATTTAGTGAAATAACTATCAATGAAAAATGAGAGCATAGTCATTAAAATACAATATTTAATGCATATTCATCAGGTTTAGCACTGGATTTTAACTCTTCTAGCTGACACTCACTTTAACTTCCATTTAAACACTGAAAACATACATTAAACTGGCGAGCCGATGTTGGAAACCGGAACCTCCCAGACCCTCAGATGGTACAGAATCAACACTGACTTGTGATCATTCATTTTAAATGAAGTTTGCACTGGATTGTGGTAACATTGGGAATTAAGGAGGTTTCCAGTTTTCCAAAAACGAAAAAGTATTGCATGTGAATATGCATCTGAAAAGCGGCGAGTCCTGTAAACATAGACGGAGGACCCGAGGGCGATGGAGGACTCGTGTTTGCTTGAGCTCCATGAAGCACCTCTTGTCAGTTTCCTTTGTGTGGAGCGAGAGCAGGAGCTCACGAGAGGCTCCACACGCGTCTCCATGTGGTCATTAATTATTCCTAACAAACTGCAATGTTTCAATCCCGCTCTTATTTACAAGGCAATTACTTTGAGAAGCGGAGAGACGTTCTCCTGGGGGCTAATTCTTAACCGAACCGCTTCGCGCAAGCTAACGGCGCCGGAGATCTTCACGCCACGTTCAAGCACAGGGTCAGATGAGATGAGATGAGATGAGATGAGATGAGATGTACCGGTCGCACTCGCCGTGAACAATATTAGACGCCTTCACAATAAAGCCAAATCTGAGTCGCCAGAGGGAGAACGTCCAAAAGGGGCACCGCAGACTGATGACGAGCTCTGAGAAGCTTTTGTGAAATATGAACGTGTTGTTTAATGGGGAAGTTTTAATTACTGAATGTGGTTCAGAGGCATTGATGACCTTTAAAGAGAGAACATGCGAGTGGTGGAGATGTGAATGTCAACACGTCGCAGATTAATTTGTGTATCTAGCCCATGAAGATTGGTTGAGTCCAGAGATCCTTCTCGAAGCTGTGCGGTGTGAAGAGGAACCAACGAGAAACTTTCCATGACTCGCCATCATCAAGTCTTCTTTTCAAATGTCCGGTTCTGTGGGATTAATCAATGGCAGTCTAGGAGGGTGTCAGACTAATTAAAAAGTAGCAGCACATCAATGAAGAGCGATACGAGCCCTTAACTCTGGCACACTGAAGAGCATCTGATTAAACAAATGCACACGCTGTATATCCGCAATATCCCTGCAGAACAGGCCCAATAAAACACTATCAGTTTACAAAAAAGGACCCAGTTGGTTTTTTCTGGTAGAGATGAGGTTCGGTCTGCGCGCTCAGTCCACCTAAAACCTAAACCAGAGAGTTACTGAAACTCAAACAACAGAGAATGATTAGAAATCCTGCAAAATTACTATTATGTCTGAACTACATTACTATTTTTATATACAATATAACCAAAATCTATAGATTGTGATTCATTTTAATTAACGATCAAACCTATTTTATCAAGTATGCAAAATATATATTTTCCAAAATGTTTCTTGAGGACCAAATCAAATTGTACTGTAGATTTGATTAAATCAGATGCATCTCTCTCTCTCTATATATATACTGTATATAGTTATAGGAGAGCCCAAATGGTCTCAGTGATTGTGGTTTCACAGGAGGGTCAGGACAAATGAAGCGGGTTCTGCAGGAGTCCTGATAAATAGGCCAGCGCTTTCACAGCCAAGAGCTTATAAATGATTACGAGCAAATGTTTCCTGTCTAATATGAAGAGAAGGGCCAGAGTCTCTCAGTTAAAGTGAAAAGCAACATGCTTATTTAGGTCAGCAGTGACTCATGTACCCGCTGTTTATCAGCCCAACACAAAACTTCAGATGAAATGAAATCTAAACATTCTCCATTACTCTGATGAACTCGGGGAACTCGGTCACGTTGCCGTATTTGATCAGACCGGCAGGTTTTATAACTGTTATTTTTGGCCAATTACCTACAGGGAAGGATAAATGGAAAAAACAGCATGCGCCATATAGCGAAACTGTTTTCGGTAAATAATCTCCGGAAATAGTGGAAAACATTTTGTGAGCTCTTCAAACTGACAGGTCTGCCAAAAAACACATTTCCATTATGGCACGTCACTTAACAGCTGCGCTCTCTGAATATTGAAGACGTGAAGCCGCAGGAGAACGCCACTGGTGCCAGCTCGGGTCCCCACGGTTCCAGCACCTCTGCTCTCAGTCATCTCTTATTTACCCAGCACATGTTCTTCAGTGTGTGCCCACAGCGGCTCTCTGCTTCACTGAACTGGCGTTAGACCTGGCGCAGGTTACACACGGCGGGATTACTCCCATCACACACGGGCTACAGGGAAGCTCAACTCTCAATCGTAAGCTAAATGTCTCTTGACAAAGCAGTTTCACTGACTTGCTCATAAACTATACTAGCTTGGAATAATTAAGTGGAATTTAAAGGAATAGTTCACAACAAAATCAAAATTCTGTCATCAAGATGTTTCAAACCTTCATGAATTTCTCTCTTCTGCTGAACACAAGAAGATATTTTGAAGAATGTCAGTAACCAGACAGCTGATGGACCCCATTGACTTAATAAATAATAATATGGAAATCAATGTTTCTGACATTCTTCAAAATATCTTCTTTTGGTTTGAAACAACTTGAGGGTGAACAGATTATGACAGAATTTTCATTTTGAAGTGAACTATTCCTTTAAGCCTTAATTTTATTTTAAATTATCATAATATTTAACATAATACAGTTTCTACTATATTTTTAATCAAAAAATAAATAAAAGTATGGAAGCTTGTTTCCGCCACAGAATGAAAAATAAAAAAGGTAATTGCGAGATATAAAGTCAGAATTGCGAGATATAAAGTTAGAATTGCGAGATATAAAGTCAGAATTGCGAGATATAAAGTTAGAATTGCGTGATATAAAGTTAGAATAGATTGATATAAAGTCGAAATTGTGTGTTATAAAGTCATAATTGATTGATATAAAGTCGAAATTGCGAGATATAAAGTCAGAATTGCGAGATATAAAGTTAGAATTGCGAGATATAAAGTCAGAATTGCGAGATATAAAGTCAGAATTGTGAGATATAGTCAGAATTGCGAAATATAAAGTCAGAATTGTGTGATATAAAGTCAGAATTGTGAGATATAAAGTCAGAATTGTGAGATATAAAGTCAAAATTGCGAGATATAAAGTCAGAATTGCGAAATATAAAGTCAGAATTGTGAGATATAAAGTCAGAATTGCGAGATATAAAGTCAGAATTGCGAAATATAAAGTCAGAATTGTGAGATATAAAGTCAGAATTGCGTGATATAAAGTCAGAATTGCGAAATATAAAGTCAGAATTGCGAGATATAAAGTCAGAATTGCGAAATATAAAGTCAGAATTGCGTGATATAAAGTCAGAATTGCGAGATATAAAGTCAGAATTGCGAGATATAAAGTCAGAATTGCGAGATATAAAGTCAGAATTGCGAGATATAAAGTCAGAATTGCGAGATATAAAGTCAGAATTGCGAGATATAAAGTCAGAATTGCGAGATATAAAGTCAGAATTGCGAGATATAAAGTCAGAATTGCGAGATATAAAGTCAGAATTGCGAGATATAAAGTCAGAATTGTGAGATATAAAGTCAGAATTGCGAGATATAAAGTCAGAATTGCGAGATATAAAGTCAGAATTGCGAGATATAAAGTCAGAATTGCGAGATATAAAGTCAGAATTGTGCGATATAAAGTCAGAATTGCGAGATATAAAGTCAGAATTGCGAGATATAAAGTCAGAATTGCGAGATATAAAGTCAGAATTGCGAGATATAAAGTCAGAATTGCGAGATATAAAGTCAGAATTGCGAGATATAAAGTCAGAATTGCGAGATATAAAGTCAGAATTGCGAGATATAAAGTCAGAATTGCGAGATATAAAGTCAGAATTGCGAGATATAAAGTCAGAATTGCGAGATATAAAGTCAGAATTGCGAGATATAAAGTCAGAATTGCGAAATATAAAGTCAGAATTGCGTGATATAAAGTCAGAATTGCGAGATATAAAGTCAGAATTGCGTGATATAAAGTCAGAATTGCGAGATATAAAGTCAGAATTACGAGATATAAAATCAGAATTGCGAGATATAAAGTCAGAATTGCGAGATATAAAGTCAGAATTGCGTGATATAAAGTCAGAATTGCGAGATATAAAGTCAGAATTGCGTGATATAAAGTCAGAATTGCGAGATATAAAGTCAGAATTACGAGATATAAAATCAGAATTGTGAGATATAAAGTCAGAATTGCGAGATATAAAGTCAGAATTGCGAGATATAAAGTCAGAATTGTGAGATATAAAATCAGAATTGTGAGATATAAAGTCATAATTGCGAGATATAAAGTCATAATTGCGAGATATAAAGTCAGAATTGCGAGATATAAAGTCAGAATTGCGAGATATAAAGTCAGAATTGCGTGATATAAAGTCAGAATTGCGAGATATAAAGTCAGAATTGCGAGATATAAAGTCAGAATTGCGAAATATAAAGTCAGAATTGTGAGATATAAAGTCAGAATTGCGAGGTTATAAAGTCAGAATTGCGAGATATAAAGTCAGAATTGCGAGATATAAAGTCAGAATTGCGAGATATAAAGTCAGAATTGTGAGATATAAAGTCAGAATTGCGAGATATAAAGTCAGAATTGCGAGATATAAAGTCAGAATTGCGAGATATAAAGTCAGAATTGCGAGATATAAAGTCAGAATTGCGAGATATAAAGTCATAATTGCGAGATATAAAGTCAGAATTGCGAGATATAAAGTCAGAATTGCGAGATATAAAGTCAGAATTGTGAGATATAAAGTCAGAATTGCGAGATATAAAGTCAGAATTGCGAGATATAAAGTCAGAATTGAGAGATATAAACTATTCTGCGGGGGGAAAAAGTCAGTGTTTTTTCCCCTTAGAATTGGCCTGATAAGTTGGAATTGCGAGTTTTATCTCACAATTCTGAGAAAAGATATCAGAATTTTGAGATGTAAATCCCCAAATTTGAGAAAAACGTCAGAAATGTGAGATAAAGTCTCAAATCTGTCTTTTTTCCTCACAATTGCGATTACTTCTCAGAATTGCGACTTTACAGTATATCTTACAATTTACTTATTTATTTTTTATTCAGTGGCGGAAGCAAGCTTCCATACATAACAGCATAAGAGACATTCTTTTCAAAAACATTAAAAAATATGATATTTTCCATCTTTTGAGAGGTAGTGACCTCACAGTAGCGACATCATGGAAACTGACCAATCAGGGGCGTCTGCGGCGTTCAGGGTGGAAAGAGGCCTACAGTGAAACCCTTCTATTGTTCTGCATGAGACGATGATCGGGGCAGAGTCCGGCGGAGCAAACCTTACAGACAAACGCTCTCCGCTTTACGCTTCCAATTGAGAATTTGAGCTCCATTGTGCCGAGGCGCTTTCCTTCCGGGCAAACTAAAACAGACTTTACGGACGTGAAGAAAGGAGCTGTCAGAACTTATGGATCTTTCAATATGATATATTTTCCGCTTTATTAGTCAGAGTTAATATCTTTCCACACTGAAAGAACGCCTTTGTTCCCTGTGCATACATTGTCAGAAATATTTCATCAAATGCTAATCTTCGCGCTGAATTAGTTAAGGCCTTTCATTTTTAGCGCTTTCAGACACACTTTTGACAGCGGAGCTTATGGCTGCTATAAATAAAAAATAAGCAAAATGCCCGTAAACACAAGCAGGATCTGGTCTTGCGAAAGCTAATAATTAGCATTTGTGTGGACAATAACCGGCTTAAAGCTTTGCAGCATCCCTCTACGCCTCCTGCAGAGGAACTGACACTTTTACAATTCCTTCTCCAAAACAAAAAACAAGGAGAAACAAAAATCGTGTCAAGTCTTGAGTACGACATGTGCTCAGACATCAGATCGCATGCATACACAACGGCTGTTTGGAGACAGAAAATAGGACAGCAGCACATAGCGGATCTTCATGTGAATAATTCATCCACGCAGACAGGGAAACAGAATGCAGGTCTCGGGGTTTGGCAGCTCCAGCCTGTCTGCCGCTAATCACGTCTGAACAGGAGGATTCACTCACGCTGGATGTCGATGGTGACCGTGGCCTCCTTGCCGTTGGGCGCCGCTTTGTTGGAGGCGCGGCAGGTGATCCGCTGGCCGCTCGCGATGTTGGAGGCGGAGACGTGGAGCGTGCTCACCGTGCTCTCTCTTCTGCCGTCTCGCAACAGCGTCTGCATCAAAACACAAACACAAACCTCGAGTACGAGCCAAACAACTCAAGATGGTCAGAGTTGAGGCTCGAGTGGGTCAAAGACACTTGCAACCATCAACCCTCGAGCACCCGATCAGCACGTGTACAGAGAGAGCGCTCTACAATGGTTTGCTTTGCTATATCAGACTAGCTTTGTGCGGAAATCTGCATCAAGAGGAACCTTTCATCGGCGTCGAGGTTACACACTTCATAAAGCCATATTACCTGCACTTCAAGCCATATAGAGGAACCGTGTTTATTGAGGAAAGATTATTAAAAAATTGGTACAGATATTTGAAGGATATTGACTTCATCCGAAACAGCCGTCTGCCTCGCAGCTACAAGAGATTCTCGCTGAGAATTAATCAAATCACCCAATAAAGAGTGCAGCTCGATTCCTGGAGAAATATGAAAAATTCAAATCCGTCGTGCGTTCATCATCTGACATTTTTCTAAAAGGTAATTGTGTTACGACGAGACGAGGCTCTCCCGTCATTAGACTTTCAGTGTGTTCAGTTATAAATCAAAGTGTACTGACACTCGAATATCTCACTGGATCTCGAGAGATGAGACGAAGCATTCTCCGACGTTTACCTGCTTCAACCAAACCCAAACGTTGGGTTGAACATGTAATTAAAACATTTAACCCAATGGCTGGCTTTGGCCATTTTTGGCCCAAAGTTGGGTTAAAACAACCCAGCATTTTTAGAGTGCACCTGTCACTAAATAAATATGTATTATATCAAATGTATATCCATAAAGGATAGCTCCACTTGTTTGCTGTTTCTATAACCAGCACTGTATGAGTGTGTGATTACACGCATTATGGTTATTATGCTGTCGATTTTCTGTCTGAACGTGGTGACAATTCAATGGAAATCAGTGTGAAACCGTCCTGTAATCTCTATTCATCCTCATGAGGACGGAAGCAGCAGCACCTGTGAACACGTTTAACACAGATTAATCCACGATAAGTCCTCGGTAAATTTGAAAAAAAGCTGTTTTGTCTCAGCCCTCCTGTTTTCACTAAAAAAACACGGTCTGTCTCTCATCTAATATCCACTTTACACCGGAATGACTGGAGACGTGAACGGCTTTGTTTTTATCCGTCTCATGGAGGCACTTGATCATTTCAGAGTCTCCAGATCTGAAAGCGGCACTTCTGTTGGGAAAAAGAGGTAACCTGTCTGGCTTGCTTGTGTCTGAATTAGGCCTGGTTAATTAATGAAGGGACTCTCTCCGGTGGGTGCTGAGGGCTTCGGCTTACTCAAAACGAGCAGATTACGCTCTCCAATCATAGTATGAGCGGCCCTTTAAACACATTTCCTTCTCTCTCCATTTCCTCCCTAAAGCCGGCCGACTGAGCAAATTGCTGAGGAACACATTCATAACGTCTTTCCATTATGACATATTCAAAGCACTGCATTACAGCTTCACTTTGCCCCAAGGATTAAATTAAAAATTAGTCCTCACTTGTCATTAATTTGACAGAGCTGAGCGTTTCGAGGACACGCAGTCAGGCGAAGTGCAGGATTTCATAAGAGACTCTTTTTCTTTTTTGACACGTGATATTGAAAAAATCGAGAGCAGGCAAAAGAGTACCGAGAGCAGGCGACGTTCACCTATACACACGTTTGGGTGGCGTAGAAGCGCTCGAGCGTTTGAAAGCAATGCATGTATATTTAAACTGAAGCCCCATTTGAGCTAAATCAGGTTTTTTGGCTATTAATTGAATATTTGAACGTTTGAATTGAATTAAAATCATTTGAAACGTTTTTTCAGGATCAGATTTCTGAATTTCACTTTGTAATGAAACACTCAAGACATCATTTTTGGGCATCATACAAGTACTTGAACATTCAAAAATGTTTGTCCAAATATTTCAAGGTTAAAATCTCTCAGTAAAATGTGAGAGTTCTTGGCAATTACATACAGTACGTGATCAAATGCTTGAATTGAATCTATTCAGTTTATAATGAAACACCTGATAGGACGGTGTTTTGGGGGCCGTCACACGTGTTTGGATGTTCAGATTACATGTGAAACATTTAGGATACGATTTTTTGGCCGACATCAGCACATTCGTTTATTTGATTTAAAATGAAACACTCAATAAAGGGGTTATCGTGTGATTGTTTGAAATGAAACGATTCAAAAGCATTTAAAAAAGCTATTGGGAATCAAGTGCACATCTGAACTGAATCAAAAACAGCATGTTTCATGAGCAGTCGAATGTTCAAAGATAAACATTTTGGCCATTATATGCAAATTGGATCATTCAAGTTACAGTGAGAAATTAAACGTTCACAAAAGACTGAATAAAAATGTTTGAAACAGCATTTTTGGGCATCAGATGTAAGTCAAAAATGTTTGGGGCATAATAGGTGAATTGCATCTCTGATGCCTGCACATGATTGTGAAACACAGGCCACGGATCCATCACGGTTCTGCATGGGGTTTAGTCGTACCTTGGTGTACGCCGCTCCGTTCAGGACCTCTCCGTTGCGGATCCAGATGATGGAGGCGGCCGGTTTGGCGTTGTCAGCGTGACAGGTGAGGTTTAGCGAGTTCCCCGCACGCAAGCTCACCACAGGCGCTCCGATTATCACGGGGTCATCCGGAGGAACTGGAGAAGAAGAAGAAAATCACAGGGAAGTTTATCCTCTAGTATCACAAACAATGGCACAAGGCAAAAGATGAGTCAAAATCGGCTCGCGTATAGCACTGATCAGCCTGCTCCTCACTCACACGCAGGTAAATTATTGATTGGGCACTCGGCTCATTAGAGAGCATATCTAGGGCAAGTCTAAATCAAAGGCAACAAGCAGCTGCTACATCCCGAGCGCTCCGGAGAGACGACACCACTTCAAGATGCCGGAACGGGCCGGCTCGGGGTGGCCGTTGGTCCCCGAGAGGCTGACTTTATTAAGAAGGAAGCTGAGACCCCATTACTCACATCTCACTGATTAGACTTCAGCCAGCTTTTAGTCTCGGGCCAATCAGACACGTTTGAGCCTCAAGGCGCCATGGTAACAGCGAAGTTTAGGGTGCAAAGGGGACGTTCTGAGCGTGTTCCTCGTCTCAGACGCTGGACATCTTCCCTTCAGACTCCTCTGTGTCGCGTATGAGACCGTGGAGATTTGGCCCACGAGTCCTGTGTGATTTGTTAGCTGGTATTTCTTCCCTGGAACCAATCAAGTCTCCCTCCGGCTTGAAAAATCATACGGTTCTGGGAACGAATAAATAGATTTCCCCTTCTGCCTCTGTGTATAAAGGCCACAGACACGTCGAGTTGTCATTGCAGAGAAGCAGAGAAATAGAGATTAGAGGATGGAAAAACGAAAAGTAGGAAACTGATTAAGTCTGTCATGACAGGAAAGTAATTCTGTTTATGTGTTCACAGCCACTATGAATCATTTCATGTCATTTCAATCATATCATTTTCATTTTTGGGTCAACTAACCTTATCAACAATCCTGTATGCATCACGGTTTCCACAAAAATATTAAGCAGCACAGCTATTTTGAACATTGACAATTATATTAGACTGATTTCTGAAGGATCATGTGACAGTGAAGACTGGAGTAATGAGGCCATCACTGGAATAAATGACATTTTAAAATGACAAAAAAAGTTATTTTTACTTATTTTTAATATTTACTGTAATATATTCAGCCTTTAGGCTATTTGATTTATTATGATGAGCATAAGAGACTTCTTTCAAATCCTTACCGAACCCAAACTTTTGAACAGTGCAAATGGATGATGGATGGATTACAAATATTAGATAGATGATAGATAGATAGATAGATAGATAGATAGATAGATAGATAGATAGATAGATAGATAGATAGATGATAGATAGATAGATAGATAGATAGATAGATAGATAGATTTTTTCCACGAAATTGAATTACATTTTTCCAACAAATTCAAATTAGTTTAAAAATAATTTGTTGTAATCTTGTTGTATGAATTTAAATTAATTTAGTCATTCCTACTAGATAAAGTTTTGTCAGGTTAACTACATTTAGTTTTGTCCTGCCTTTAATTCAACAACATTATAATTTTAGTTATTTTGACTCAGTGGTCACTTCTAATGCTAGACACTTTTAAACTATTTTTTACATAGTAATATTATATTACTTGTGCAGGACTGTGAGTGAGGTTTACACATAGTGTATACTGAGTACCCGAACAGGAAGATTAAAGCACATATAGTGTAATATTGAGTCTGAACACTATACTGACCTAAACACAGTCACCACTCTTCTGCATAATGGTAACCACAAAATTCAAAAACATTACAGAAAGTACTCCAAGTTTCTAACATAACTGAACATAAAACAACAACATTAACTAACAACATCTTTCCATTTACTGATAAACACATAAAATAACACCTTTTCCATAAATTGACCCTCTTAATGCAGTCCCTTGCAAAGCATGCTGGGAACTAAAGATCCACTGCCCAGTTAGATGTCAACAACAATGATTCATGTAGATTTCACACAAATGAATTCGGTTGACTGAACACAATTAAATTAAGTTGTGACAATATTAAACAATCATGTTACTTTTGCTTATTTTAATTAATTATTTTAACAAGAGGCCAAAATTCATTTTTTGAGTGACATCCGTTTAAAAAGAATGTAAAATATTCATGTTGACTCAATTAAAAAAATTTGGTAAACCAAATTTTTAAAAGATTACATTGATTACATTTGAAGAGTTCAGATGCAAAAGCCTCTAAGTGCCATTTGAAATTTTCTTCTTTAATGATGATTTTTATCAAACTTTTATATTTAAAATCAGTAATTTCACTTAAATAACAATTAATAGGTAATTATCATTGCCATTTAAGTGAAATTACTGAACTTAAATATACAAGCTTGATAAAAATGATCATTCTAGAAGAAAATTTCAAATGGCACTTAGAGGCTTTTGCATCTGAACTCTTCATTTAATGAAATTAAGGTGGAATCACTTCTATGAAGGATTGTGTCGTATATGCTCATTTTAATTAATGAAATTGAACAAAGAGCTAAAATCATTTTTTTGAGTGATAGATAGAGATTCTTCCTTACTACTGAAACATTGAAAACTGGAATGAAATCCCTTTTCCATATTTAAATGAGTGACTGAAAGTACGTCCATCCACTCAGAATCCACTCTCGTTTCCAGGAGCAATTAAAGTCCGTGTCATATTCCTTTTCCCATCTGGACATCCTTAACAGCTTGCTTTAACGACTAAGTGCTTTGCCAGTTTAGAGCAAACGCATTTGTTTTTGTTTTGTTTTTTACAAACATAGCTTACAATTGCATGCTGGGATTGTTTTCCGGGACTGATGGAGCACAGGCTAAGTGTATGCAAATGAGCACACCAGTTCAGTCCATCAGTCTGCTCAGTTTCTGTTATTGATGGGTCTGAATTAGAGCGAGAGAGAGAGAGACACTTCCTAAACTGGCACAGCCGTCCAACATTCAAGTCCGCGAATCCCAGAGAGCAAAGTGCCAATATATTATGCTGTGAATCCACACACTGGCTTTGGATAGTGGCTTTCCATGTGGCACGGATCCCTCTCCTTTTGAGCGGCAAAAACTGGCATGACCATGTTAAACCTTCCCGTGAACGCCATGTTTGCAAATATGCCCTGGTGCGACTCTAAAGCCTAAACCATGGTCTTTGTGTGAGCGGGTCAACGGTGGATTAATCATACAGACCGGGGAGAAACTCTCACACGGAGCCTGACGAACAGCCCGAATTACTTCTGTCTCTGGCCTCTTGATACACCGGGCCCTCGAGACACCTCCAGTCATTCAGCATGTGTGAGGAGAAAAATGGAGCAATTTCATTTTGGAAACAAGAGAGAAGGGGCATTCTGGGAAATGTGACCTATTTTGTAATGTACCTGGATTTGGTCTTCCATCTGGAGAGGTCTCTCTCTCTCTCTCTCTCTCTCGCAGGAATGGGAAGCACGGAGGATTAATCACTTTCATCCTGAGTTTAGTTGCTGTACCACACAGCGGCACACAGCCTTCAGCAATTATCCCGTCGCCTGCTTCTTTTCAGGTGTATTAACTCTTAAAAACACTCTTTCAACAGATGCAGATGTGATCTTTCCTCCATTTAGTGAAATATTCTTGAGTGTTGTTTGAAACTGTGCTCTTGTTGATCAGATAATGGTGACCTTAAAACCTTTTAAAAGTTCCTGCTAAACGCCCGTTGCACTAGACTCAAACGAACTGTAGGAAATCCAATTAAAATCGAATGAGGAAGGTGGAATAACATTTTGAAATGTTAAAATGTTAACACAAGGGCTGTAAATGTTAAACCCGGGACTATTTTTACATAATTAATGAAAACAGCTTTACGCCGAGGAGAAGTAAACTAACCATGAAACAAGAGATCAACATTAATTGTCAATAAAAAGTGCACGGACGAAACTGCACAACATCCGAACAGCCTCGCAGCACTCAACATCTCCGTCTGTTTTTAATAGAAATCATTGTCTTACATCCTCCCGCCAGCTTATCAATGCGACCCTTCGACCTTGTGTGTGTTTTTCAGTTGCAGACCGTTCGCTCTGTTTAAAGGAAACAGCCTCAAGTGAGACTTTTCAGATACTCTGTGAAGAAAACTAAATGTTGTATTGCAGGTCCCAGTAGATGCAGATTTATCTCTTTTCATCCTGAAACCTTTGGCCAATGCATCAGATAATTGACCAACTTCTTAATTTCAATCAACACTCATACTATTAGTCAGACTGCCATGGATTGGGCTACTGTAAATCTATTGAGGCGATCCGTTTTAGAGTTCAATTAGGCTTTAGGTTCAGCGTGCTTGTTCTTCGCTGATGACATGAATAGTGAGTATAAGTAAATAAATAGATTGATGCTTGATGAGCTTTAACTACAGGGTGCCATTATTGACACAAGAGCTGGATTTATCCCAGTCCTTCTGCTCGAGTTCTCTATAAGCATCTTTGGGAGGGAAGGCCTGAGATCCAGCACGGACCACACGGAGAACCCTTGGGCCCGAGCAGCGAACAGCAGCTTTAATCAGAGCAGGAGGAGCCTGTCACGACGCAGATTTACTTTCCTGTTCCTCCCTGTGATATTGCTATGCGATCTTGATTTCATTCAGATGCCATTTGGATTCAGTTTGGACACTGATTTAAACAATATTGATGAGTGGACAGCTTCTAAAACACAAATCCATTTTGAAAATGTAACATTTTAGAGATGTAGTAAAGTTGTCCACATGTTTAATATTGCATACTTAAAGGAGTAGTTCACTTGTAAAAAAAACTTTTGCTGATAATTTACTCGCCCCCGTGTCATCCAAGATGTCCATGTCTTTCTTTCTTCAGTCGAAAAGAAATTAAGGTTTTTGATGAAAACATTCCAGGATTTTCTCCATATAATGGACCAGGCCCGTCGCCAAGGGGGGGCATTGGGGGGCAGTGCCCCCCCAAACGACTTACTGTGCCCACCTACGCATGAGCTTGACAATAGATGTTAATATGTATATGCTAATAATTATATCGAACAGAGCTCGGTCTTTCTGCATAACTTATCTCACAGGAACGGTAAGCTCTACAACGGTAGGAATGTATAATACAT